AATGATATTCTATGGGAAAGTAGGATTTATTATATGAATTCAAGGTTTGTTTAACATAACAAAATCAAGCAATAAAATAAACCCTTGATGTAAGAAATTATAATCATCTCAATATTTCTGATAAAAGCACTCAATATATTAGGAATTTAAAAACATTCTATGAATGTAATAAAGGATGCATTTAAGAAAACTACAATGAATATCATATTTAATGAAAGACTTGACAATGTCCTTTTACATTCCAAACAAAGATAATAAATTGGTGACTTCTGCAACTTAATACTCAACATTCTCCTGGAAAGTATAATCCAGACAAATAAGCAAGAAAGAAATATGTAACATACGGATTAACAAGAAGAAAAAACTAACTCTGCTAACAATATAATAATCTATGTAGAAAATCCCAAGTAATGCATTTAAAAAACACTAAAACAAGTGAATTAATTTGTCAAGGTTGCTAGATACTAGCTACGTACACAAATGCCAATTATATTTCCAAATGCCAGTAATGAATGGTCTGAAAATAGAACAATGAAAATATGTCTATAACAACACCCAGAGTAAAATAGTTAGGAAAAAGAAAAACATTATTAGAAAACTTCAGTGGAAAGGACTCTGTGGTGGCTGGAACCTCAGGTGAGAATTCAGTGACCCTGTCTGCCCTTTCCTTCTATGAGAGAATGTCAACATTCTCCCTGATGTTGCAGGTCTCTTGCAAGTGGTCACAGCCTCTCAGAGGGTGACAGCTGTTCAGCTCAGAGCACACTGCTGTACAGCAATAATGGTGGTTGTACAAGTTTATGACTATACTCACCACCACCTTTTTAAAGGGTGAACTTTATGGTATGTGAGTTACATGTGAGGGCCCTATTGAGCTGTTCCTCTGAGCCACACCAAGCTAAAATATTAACTGAGAAAGTAAACAGCTACATTATGAGCCCTTCCCTTCCCACATCAAAAATGCTCTAAGAAAAAGCTGACATAAAAGATGAGTGTCCAGTAAATTTAAGTGTGGTGGCACAGGTTGGCAGTACAGCACTTGGAAGGCTGAAGCAGTAGGAGTTCAAGGCCAGCCTGGTGCAGTTAAGACTAAACTAGACTAGATTATGTAGCAATGCTTGGTCAGTTCTTAGTTTAGTTTCCTGAAAATGAACTTCCCCCACTTCTTAACACACAGTACATGCATAATCAAAAACAATTCTAGGGGCCAGGGAGCTGTCCCAGCAATTAAGAGTGTATATTGAGAGCCTAGAGAGATGGCTCAGTGGTTAAGAGCACTGGCTATTTTTCGAGTGGACCTGGGTTCAATTACTTGCACCCATAGGGTGGCTCACAAGTGGCTGTAACTCCAGTTCCAGGGTATCTGACACCTTCTTCTGGTCTCCTTGGGTACCAGGCATACACGGGCACAGACATGCAGACATAGCACCCATACACATAAAAATACATTTTTTTAGGAGTACATATTGCTCTAGCAGATTTGAATATCATTCCCAGCATCCATACCAGGTGGTTCACAAGAACCTGTAATTCTACCTCCAGGACATCTGATTGCCTCTTTTATACTCTATAGACACTGCCCTCATAGATTCACATATCTACACATAGAGATGATCACATGTGCACAAGCATGCACACATACACACACAATTTATAAAATAAAATGAATCATTTTTCAAACAAGCAGCTCTAAAATCCACAGTGGCAGAAGCTCAAGAAACCACCCCATCTCTATGCTGCTGTGTCTCTTTTTCTGTTATCAGTTTACTTCTTCCAGCTTTGTTCTTTTTTAGTGCACAGTTTCTGAGTGTCAGGCTTTCAGTTATTGACTTTAACAAACTCACAGAGGGAAAACATTCCTGAATGTTCTTAGTTTTTGAGAATAAAACAGATTAATAGGAGAAATGAGTACACATATTATCACTACTTTATATATGTATACAGGAGCTTTCATAGAAAAAAAATGAAGACTCCAAGAAGCAGAATCAATGGCTCATCTGAAATGCCTTGTCCAGGCAAATACATAGGTACATAAGCAGATTAGTGCTTGCCCAGGACTGAGATGGGATGGGAGAGTGTGGAGAGGGTGCTTAATAAATATAGTATTTCTTATTTGGGGTGAAAAAATATCATGGAGAAAAATTATGGTTTCATTGTAAAACTATTAAAATCCATGAATTGTATTCTTTAAAATAGCTAAGAGTGACATTTGTGCAATGTGAATTTTACTGCAAAAATAAAATAAAATCTGGACCTCATGGCAAATACCTGTAGTCCCTGCACTCAGGAGGCTGAGGTAGGAAGATGGAAAGTGTAAGTAAGGCCAGCCTAAGCTACATTGAGGGATAATTTAAACACACACACACACACACACACACACACACACACACACACACACACACAGAGAGAGAGAGAGAGAGAGAGAGAGAGAGAGAGAGTACAAATTGATTGCATCAATATATAAAACTTATTTCTAGCAAAAAATATCATTTACAAGAGTGATATAAACAAATAACTCCTAAAAGCCTATAAATAGCCCACAAAGATGTGAAAAGAGACTGAACCTCCCAACTAATCAGAAAAGTATAAATTACATTATTGAAATAACTATTTAACTCAGATTTGCCAAAGTGAAAGAGCTTAAAAAATATCAAGAATGGGGGCTGGAGTGATTGTTCAGTGGTTAAAAGCATGTACCGCTCTTCCAGAGGACATGAGTAAGTTCCCAGAATCCATATTAGGTAGCTCACAAGCACCTGAATTCCAGGTCCAGGGGATCCAAAGCCCCTTTCTAGTCTCTAAGGGTATTGCGTGCAAGTGTGTATTTATGGATATGACTATGTATAAAGGCAGAGAAAACATTTTTTTTTTTTTTGGTTTTTCGAGACAGGGTTTCTCTGTGTAGCTTTGCTCCTTTTCCTGGAACTCACTTGGTTGCCCAGGCTGGCCTCGAACTCACAGAGATCCTCCTGCCTCTGCCTCCCGAGTGCTGGGATTAAAGGCGTGTGCCACCACCGCCTGGCCGAGAAAACATTTTTAAAAGTCAAATTTGTGGTTGCTTGTAGTGGATGGGAGTGTCTTAGGGTTTCTATTGCTGTGAAGAGACACCATGACCATGGCAACTTTTATAAAGGAAAACATTTAATGGGGTGGCTTACAGTTTCAGAGATTTAGTCCATTATTATCATGGTGGGACATGACAATGTGCAGGCAGATATGGTGCTGGAGCTGAGAGTTCTACATCTTGATACAAAGGCAACAGGAAGTGAACTGAACCACAAGGCATGGCTTGAGTATACATGAGACCTTAAAGCCCACCTCCACAGTGACACACTTCCCCCAACAAGGCCACACCCACTCCAGCTAAGCCAGTAGTGTCATTCTCTACGAACCTATGGGGGCCAATTACATTCAAACTACCACAGGGAGCAAGTGAAACACTATCAGGGAATAATTAGGATGAAGGTTCTGAGAGGAGTTGGCCTTGGTTTACTTCACACCAAAATGGGTAAGTAACCTTGGGAAAATTACTTCTCCATATTTCTTCTCCATGGACCTTCACATGCAAAACTGCTATGCAATGAAAAAATAAAACCAATGCTAAATTTTAAAACATCATTTAGCATACACCAATCAATCAAAAAATATTAGCTCTTTATTAATCTGCTAGTCTCTTTAAGAAGACTTGGGTCAAGTGGAAGCCAAGTGGATCCTTTCTGGACCTAGATGAAAGAAATGTATTCCTCCACTCTTATGGATGAACACACCATTTAGACTTTAGTTCATTTAAAGAGGGAATGGGAAGATAGCTTAGTCAATAAAGGGATTGCTGAACAAGCATGAGGACCTGAGTTCAATTCCCAGAACCCGAGTAAAAAAGCCAGGTGTTGTGGCTCATGGTTGTAATCCCAGGATACAGAAACAGGAGGATCCCTGAGGCTTGTGGGCTAGTTAGCCTCACCAAATCAGGGAGTTCCCGGCTGTTGTAGAAGAATTGCCTGTATAGACAATCCACTGTGCCAATAAAGCAACCTTGAATCAAAGGACAGAGTCAGCAATTGACTGATGAGGATTAGCCATAAAGTTCTTGGAGGACTTAGAATAGTGGCTAGAAAGGACAGGAAGGGAAAAGGGAAAAGTTCCAGAGAATTTCCAGGGCTGGTGGTTTGGGAAAAATTTGGAGAAGGTCAGCCAATCACTTCACTTTCCTTGGATTTTTCAGGTCTTTATCTCAATTTCTGACTCTTGAGTTTTTATTATACTGAAACAAATCAGGTGATCATTACATCTGGCAGCCTCATATGATACCCAGCATGTGGCATTATTAAACCATGCCAAGGCTGTGAACCCTCCATACCACCACCACTGCTATAGTGGCTGGCTTTGTCTCCTTTTTCACAGGCCCTCTGCGCCTGTTTTTCTGTGTCCTGGGTTTTTCCGTTACAGTCAGTCTATCTACAGCAACCTTCAGCTGCTACCCACCCCTGGATACAAAACACTGCTGGGGTTAGCCACCCCACTGCTGGCCATACGCTGACTTCCTGCCACGTAGGCCTCCCTCCCCAGACTGCCAATCCACTCCAGTTCATCCACCGTGAAACCTGCTCAGGGCTTGGGTTCTTACTGCTGCTGCCACCACAGCCACCAACTCAGGGACCCGGCTGTGCCCAGCCTTGAAATGCAGCAATAGCCAATGGAGTATACTCCCAGTCAGCCATCGCACCTCTGCCAGCAGACAGGGGCCCTGTCTCATGCTGCATCCCAGCTGCGTGGATTTTTCCTACTGGTTTCCTTACATTAGCTCTTTAGACAGCTCATGCCCCTCCTTGCCTAGCAGGTGAGTAGCCACATTGTCCTCCAGGCCAAGTGTACAATTAGCACAGCTGGGGAACCCTGCCACACACCCAACACACAAGCAGCTGCAGGTACCCTCAGCCAGGCCTATGTAGCATAACAGCAGCCCACTGTGACCTCAATGCCCATAAAGCTAGTCTGGCTGCCTGAGCACCCCACTTCCCACACATGCACACCGTGTAGCCACTACAGGTGACAGCTTGCACCCCACCTCACCCTTGTGCATCTCTGCCTATGCTGTCATTGTCATCAGATGTGGTAAGATGCTTAGGAATTTTTAAATGGGGAATTAGGTTTTTTTTTTTAAAGGGGGGGAGTGGAGAATCTTTCCATATTAAAAATCAGGAATATCACAATGCAGGGAGTTACGACCCTATTCAGTGCTTCTATGAATGGCTTGCAAAAGGAGAAAATAAACAAGAGTATAAACAACTTAGCTGGGATTGACATAATGTCCTCATAATTATTATCAGTTTGGTAACTCACATTTTATCCTTTAAAAAGTGGTTTGATAAATTGCCAAATATAATAATTTGACTGTTAAGATGTGAGCCTTAGAAAAACATACTATTAGTAAGACACAAGCCTTAGATAACTTACTATTGATAAGATATTAGCTTTAGAAAGACTTACTACTCACTAATAAGATACAAGCCTTAGAAAAACTTATTAAAAAATTTGACTAATAAAACATACTGTGAAAGAATTTACTAATGATAAAATACAAGCTTTAGAGGGACTTATTACTGATAAGATACAAGCCTTAAGAAAACCTACTAATGAAAATAAGAAAAATATTCAGACAAGGAAGAATTTAGAGCAGAACCTACCACCTACCGCACCATTGCATTATGATACTGATGAGAAGTGGCCTAAGGTTATTAGAAAACCAACCTTAATTTATCTAGTTACCATACAGGAATGATAACCAGATGACAGGCAACCCTTAGGCTATGCAGAAGTTAATTGGGATCCTGTAGAAATGTTATATTTGAAGAGACTTAAAGAAGCAGTCATTTCATATGGTATGCATTCACTCTTTGTGAAGCAGATATTAATTTCATGGACAACTCGGAACAGGATTACTCCATAAGCCTGGAAAGATTTGGTTACAACATATTGGAATCTGGTCCTCAGTTATAATGGAAAACACGGTGGAAAGAAGAAGCTGAGGTCATAGAACAATGACATAGGGCTAGAATCATAGAAATTTCCAAAGACCAGCTTCTCAGTGAGGGCCAGTATGCTGATGTGCAAAGACAGGCTAGATTTGATGATAACATTTTCATGTTATTTTGTATAGCAGCTTTGAATGCTAAGAATCAGGAAAGAGGGCAGAGTCAATTACTAAAATTATACAAGGCCCAAAAGAAGCCTTCACTGAATTTTTACTAAGGTTGACTTCAGCTGTAAATAGAATGATATCATATCCAGAAGTTAGACAAATATTAATTTAATCTTCGGCTTTTGAAAATGCTAACTCAGAATTCAAAGGGGTGAATAGGTTTTTAAAGGTAAGATCATTACCAATAAATGAACAGATTAGAAATACAGCTGATAGTGGATCTCATGCTTATAATGCTACTTTGATAGTAGAAGTAATTTCTAGAAATTTTAAGAAAAATCAGAATGTCAGATGTTTTAATTGTGGTAAGCAAGGTCATCCAAAAAGGGATTGTAGGCAAGGCAAATTTGGCTCAATCATTCCCTGTCAGCTTTGGAGACACTCATCAAAAGAACAATTAAAAGATTTAATACCTGTTGTTGAAAACCACACTGCTCTGGATGTGACCAAAGACAGAAAAACTTCTATAGATACAACAAAAAGTTTGGGAGACCAGAAAACAAGTATTTTGTTAAACTGCTATAAATGATCAGAGACAAAAGCTAAAAATACAAATAAATGCATTGAAACTGAGAGTTTGATAGACAAAGAGGCAGATGTAACAATAATTTACCAAAATCTTGGTATCTAAATTGGCCTCTTCAGGTGGTAAATGTTCAGCTTCTAGGGACTAGAACTTTATCTCAGATAAAACAAAGTGCAAGATAGGTCAACTATATAGGTCTAGAAGGACAGATAGAAACATTAAAACCATATGTAGCTAACATAGCAATAAATTTATGGGGATGTGATTTGTTGCAGCAATGGAAAACACATATTAACATTCTTCCAATCTCAGAAACAAACCATAAAATAAAGAATGCTTCTGAGAGAAATATTAAAAGGTATTATCAAGAACAGCCACAGACTGTTCAGGTTGTACATAAGCAGGGCACAACACCTGATGATCTTTCAAAGGTACCAACAGCCCTACCTTTTAAATAGTTACCTGACAAACCTATCTGGGTAGAACAATGGCCTTTGACATCAGAAAAATTATAGGCATTAGAACAGCTGGTACAGAAGCAGCTAAATGCTCAACATAATGAAGAATCAATCAGTACTTGTCATTAAAAAGAAATCTGGAAAATGGAGAATGTCAACAGATTTAAGAGCCATAATTAGCCAATGGGCTCTTTGCAGCCTGGAATTTCTTTGCCTTCTCTATTACCTAAAGGATGTTCTATCATAGTTATTGATTTAAATGACTGCTTATTTACTGTACCTATACAACAACAGAATAAAGAAAAATTTGCCTTCACAGTGCTTACTTATAATTACCAGCCTTTTAAAAGGGATTGAGTGGAAAGTTCTTCCATAAGGGATGTTAAGCAGTCCCACCTTGTGACAATATTTTATAAAACATCTATTGGAAATAATTTGTAAATAATTTCCACAATCTATAATTTACCACTAATAGATGATACCTTACTAGCTAAAAATCAAGAGAGAATGGTTACAAACTCTTAATGATTTTCAAAAACAGCTGGGAGCTACTAACTGGCTACAGCCCACAATTGGATTGACAACTCAAGAACTAAGTTAAATTATTTAGAACCTTACAAGGTGATAAGGACTTAAATAGTCCAAGAAAATTACCAGCTGAGTCTGAGAGAAAATTGGCTTTGGTAGAAAAGAAACTACAGGATGCACATGTGGTCCAGAGCTTGATTGTATCCTGGTATTACTGCCCTCTACTCATTCTCCTTCAGGAATTCTTATGCAGAGAGAAGATATTATTTTAGAATGGATATTTTGCCACACAAACAGAGAAAAAATTAAAGACCTAAGTAGAAAAGGTTTTTGAATTGATTCTGAAAGGAAAATTTAGACTTCGTCAATTAACAGGAATAGACTCAGCAGAAATTGTGGTATCTTTTACCAATGCTGAAATTTCTTCATTATGGACAGAAAATGAACATTGGCAAAGAGCTTGCAGGGGATTTTTCTGGGAGAGATTAGCAACAAATATCTCAAAAGCAAGAGACTTCAGTTTATAAAAAGAACTAGTTGGATTCTTCCTCACATTGTGTGAAGAACACAAATTTCTGGAACCCTATATTCTATACTGATGCAAATAAATCAGGAAAGGCAGTTTATAAGTCAAGAGATTTAAGTAAAATGACTTAAAGCCCTTATGATTCTGTTCAAAAGTCAGAATTATATGCTATTCTTATGCTATTATTAGATTTTCCAGACCCTCTTAATATAGTTGCTGACTTTCAATATGCAGAAAGAATTGTTTTACATATTGAAACAGCTGAACTTATTCCAGATGATTCAAAATTAACCTTGTTATTTATTTTATTATAAGAAATAATTGGAAATAGAAATCATTCCTTGTATATAGCACATATCAGATGCTATATGGGTCTATCAGGCCATCTAGCACTAGGTAATGATGAAATTGATCAGCTGTTGGTTGAAAATATGCTCAAAGCCTCTGAGTTTCTTAAAAAAAACACTGTGCTAATAGCAAGGGTTTGAAGGAGGATTTTTCTATCACTTGGCAATAAGCCAAAGAAATTATAAGAAAATATCCTACTTGTTCTTTGTATAACCAAACTCCACTACCTGTAGGAAGTAGCTTAAAGGTTACTCCAAGAAATGAAATTTGGCAAATGTATGTGTTTTATTTTACAGAGTTTGGAAAATTAAAGTATGTGTACCATACCTTAGATATATATTCAGGATTTCAATGGGCAGCTACTTTGAGTTTTGTAAAGGCTGATTCTGTAACCACACATTTATTAGAAGTTATGGCCATTATGTGAATACTTGTGCAAATTAAGACTGACAATGCTCCAGCATATGTTTCTAGTAAAATGAAATAGTTTTCACATATTACAACATAAAGCATATTGCAAGTATATCACACAATCCTATAGGGCAAGCAGTTATAGAAAGATCTAATCAAACTAGAAATAGATTACACAATGCTCTATTTACTTTAAATTTTTAAATGCTAATGAGAAAGGAACAACAGCTGTGAAGAGATATTGGATAGTAGAAAAAAAACCACTGAACAAAAGTAAATTAGCCTGTATACTTTAAGGATGTATGGCACCAAAAGGGAAACCAGGATATGTGTTATGTTGGGGAAGAGACTTTGCTTTTGTTTCTACAGAAGAAGAAAAGCTATGGATACCATCAAAATTGATGAAGATTAGATTCGAACAAGAGTGACCTCATGATTAGGAGAGGCAATAGTTCATCAAATAGTGTGGCAATTCAACCTGGCAAAAACACAAACTCACCAAAGTTAAGTTTGGGACAGGGTTTCATTTTTGTCTTTCCAGGAAAATAAAAGCATCCAACTGAGGAATCTGATGACCCACTAGACAAATGAGACATCTGAAGAAGGACAAATCATCCAGATAAAATGCCCCCAAGCAAAAGAATAAATTGGCCTAATAGTGTAACACACTTCCAATAGAATAAAGTCTCATAATACTTTGCAAATGTTTGTTTCTGCTGTTCTCTACAGACATAGAAGATAAATGGTCTTTTTGTAGTCCCAATTCAACTAAAAATCAAAGCTGGCTTTGGAGTTGGGGTGCGGCTTTCTCCTTATCTATACCCAAGCATGCTTGTTAAAGGAAATCCCCAAATCTCTGTCTCAAGTCAGAAGAGCCACCTGGTATGGGACAGAAGAAAAAACAAAATTAGGGGCTATTCTATTGCCACTAATCTCATAATTCTTTGGTTTTATTTTAATTCTTTAAAACTTTTCTTAAGGTATAAATATTATCTCAAAATTTATAAGATATATATACTTTCTGTCATGAGATTGATGTTCATATAAAGTACTAACTGATTCTAGAAATCGGGTTCATCTTGCTTCCTATACATGATTTTGGGCTTGAATCTAAAGCAGGTAACTAGGAACTAAGTTTGTGTACCCTGGGTGTATTTAATAGACTGTGGTACTTTATCCTCTCTGAAATCTGCTACATATGACATTTAAAATGTTTAAGTGTCCTGCAGTGAACCATGACCATTCCTAACAGAGAGCCTGTAGTCTCCAAAAGGATGTTGGATCCCCACAACAATGAATCAACCTGGATTGTGGTAACACCACTAAGCTGACAAACACCATTCAAAGATCAGCTTTGGGCTATAAGCTTCTCTAAACAACTTCAAAGCAGTTAGCTAAGATGGTCCAGCCCCATAGACTAACTACTCCAGTCAGGACTTCAGATAAGCCTTGTACTCTCCAATTATACCAAGACTGGACAACAGCTAGCTTTCCCAGAACTTGATCTTTATCTCAATTTTCAGGGTCCCCTAAAGATGCTGTCACCCCCAGACAACATGAAGTAATTTTAAGAACATGAGACCCACATTCCCAAGAGGTAGGATGAGTCGATTTTGGTCATTTGATGGTTGTTTGTCATCATTTATGGGGTTGGTTACCCCATAAACAAGTTGTTACTGGTCATAGTCAGGGAGGAAACTACACAAAGGAAATTAGACTCAGGGATCTCATTCAGAAAAGAAAAAGGGAGATATAGAAATGACAGGATAAAGGGTAGATTATTATAGCTACTTTCAAACTAAAAAAGCAACTACTAGTCTCAAATATTTTACATTGGTATGGATTTTTGTATATTGATACAAATTTAAGATTATTAGCCTGTATACTTTAAGGATGTGTGGCATCCTTAAACTGTATTATATATTTGTATTTCTTGTTTAAGGATTTATACCTATGCACCATTTAAAAATGTAATTAAAGTTCTAGTCCTTGAAAACTATTTAGGATAATAAAGAAATACAGGTTAGTAATTAGTCATTTATAATAATCAAACTTATAGTCATGTTACATGTATTTTTAAGGTCAATCAGAGACATATTTTAAATAGATGGTCTTCAAACACTTCAGAGACCTACAGAATATGATATTTTAATGTTTTAATAACCTAAGGCTTTTCATGACAGTGAGACATATTTGCTACTGGCAACATCAATTTACTTTAAAAAATGATGACAGGCATCAAAAAACCTTCACATGGAGTTTGATTTCAATGAGGAAAAGCTAGCCATGTGGGCAAGAAACTGCCTTTGTCTTGACTGTTGACAGTGTGCTGTCCAAACTGGACAAGCAGGACACAAAAGAAGATAGCACCAAACTTTGCCAAGTGAAGGTAGGAGAGTCCTTCAAAATTCCTGTTTCACAGAAAAGTCTGTCACATATTCTAAGTCTATAGGCCAAAGTTGGATGCTCCAACATTATAGAGGAACCTTGGGGTGACTGTCCAGGCAGCCATATGTCTCTATCATTTCTTAGTTTTGGAAGTTGCTTGCTCTGCACTTCCTGTTTACTCAGATAGTAGTATATCCTTCTCAGGTCTCTGATGGGGTTAAAGATTAAATAGTTTTAGTTATAGTTTTCCTTAGTTCTGATAGAAAAAGTAAATTATGTACAAAATTTTGAACTCACCAAGATAAAATTGATAATAGAGTATTTTCTCTGAATTTGCCAAATATTGATGGATTGGACATTGTGAATGTATTTCTTACTTGATAATTGTCCTTATTGTATATTGTTTTGCATTCTTGAGAGTTAAAACCTTCCCTCTTTATTTAGACTAAAAGGGGGAAATGTTACAATATTTTGCCAACAAAACAACTTTGAATCAAAGGATGAGTCAGCAATTGGCTGACCAGGATTAGCCATAAAGTTCTTGGCGGACTTTGGTGGGCATTTAGAGAGGACAGGAAAAGAGGAGAGAGGAGTTCTGGGGAATTTCCCAGGCTGGTAATTCTGGAAAAATGTGGAGAGAGTGTCAGCCAATTTCTCCACTTTCCTTGAATTTTTCAGGTCTTTATCTCAATTTCTGACTCCTGAGTTTTTATTATACTGAAACAAATTAGGTGATCACATCTGGCAGCCTCACCAGGCCAATGAGAAACCCTGATTCAAAACACAAGGTGGATGGCTTTCTGAGGAATGACATCTGAGGTTGACCTCTAGCCTCTAAATACATGTGCATGCATATACATGTATACAACACACACACACACACACACACACACACACACACACACACACACACATCAAAGAAAGCAAACATCCAGCTTTCTCACTCAACCCAGAGACAGTCTGAGTTCAGTATTTGTAAGTTCAGGTATTCTGGATTCTTCCTCCAAGGTAAGTTGAAGCCTTGGTATAATATTCAAGTCAGCAAAATCCTGAGCTAGTCTTACCATCTCATCTTTCATTATACATTCTCATAAAATGATGATAATGACCTTGACCACAGCCATACTTTATTAGATATGATTAGGCAAAGCATTAACCATATACTAGGTATAATTACAGTGCTTTTTTTATGTGAGCTCATGTAATCATAAAAACTGTAAGGAAACTGAGTGTCGTAGTTTGCATGTAATTAACCCCATAATCTCATAGGAAGTGACACTATTAGGAGGTATTACTTTGTTGGAGTGGGTATGGCCTTGTTGGAGGAAATGTGGCACTGTGGGAGGGGACTTTGAGGTTTACCTGTGCTCAGGATACCGCCCAATGTCTTAGTTGACTTCCTGTTGCCTGTAGGATGCTCAGCTATTTCTCCAGTACCACATCTGCCTGCATGCCACCATGCTCTCCGCCATGATGATAATGGACTGAACCTTGAAACTATCAGTGAGCCCCCCAATTAAATGTTTTCCTTATAAGAGTTGCCATAGTCATATTGTCTTCTCACAGCAATAGAATCCTAACACTGAAGTAAAGAGAAGTTGAATAATTTAGGCAAGACTCACACAGCACTATTGGATAATAGAGTCTGCATTCCTAAACCCACACGGTCTCCAAACAATCTAGGTCTCCTTTATAGGAACGTTACATCTTTTACAAACCAAATAGCAAGCAGAATCATAGAAATAACAAGTTAAATGTCCTTCAGTTAGAGTATGCTATTGCTAGGGGGCAGAGTATAACACTGGTATAATGGTTTTGGAAAAGAATCCAGTATTATCTATTAAAGTTGAGTCTAATACATGCCCTATGACCTTGTAAATTTGTGAGCTTTCCATCATCATAATGAAGTATTAAAAGTAATTAAGTTGTAAAGGGGGGAGCATTATTTTGGCTCATGGGTTTAGGTTCTTGTGCACAGTTGCTGAGCCTATTGCTTTTAGGTTCCTGTTGGAGGTACCAGGTAACCATGGCCAGACGGTAGACTCTAGCATCCCCAACAAGGTAGTTTCAGTCACCCATCCTCAATAGACCAATTAAACAAATAAATTTATAGTGAAAAATCAACAAATGCACATTTCTTCAAGGTGAAAACATTGGGGACAGGAACAAAGAGATTCAGTGATGTCCCCAAGTCATCCTTAGGGTCCTGGCATGAGGTTCAAAATAGAAGGCAAAAGATATGAATTACTAAGTAGTCCTTTTCAAAGTGAGGTCCCACCCATCCTCACTTTCTTGGTTCTAGTCTCTCTTGAAAGGTGATCTAGCAATTGTCAGGACTGTGTGTGACTTCTTTCTGCAGACAAGTTTGCCCCACTGGTTGACACTAGACCTTTCATTCTCCCAGTGTGAGATTCCTGGAGAGATTCCAGTTTCTTGAGCATTTATTGTTTCAATAGTTGGTATTCAAAGGGAGGGGATATTGTATAGCAGTTTACTCTAAGATAAAACCATCTATCTTGGAGTGCCTTAAGACATAGGATGTTCCTAAAGGATATAAAACAACAGGATATTCTAAGGGGAGTGTCCATCCTACAGAGAAGCTCATTAAGCACAGGAAGTTATCAACTTAAAGGCTTCACTAAGTCCCCCAAACTGACCACATTCATTAGATCCATTTCTCCTGAAGCATATATAAGCAGCAAGAACTTCTGAGAGATACTCTCATACAAGCTGAAAGTCATTTCTGCTCCTATAGGTAGCCTCTTACCCATATTCCTGTAAACAATCCCAATAAAACACATTGGTTCCTCAAGTTGAGTTTTCGTTGTATCCACAATTTGGTCTGTTGGTTTCCTATCTGGAGTGAGTAGACATTTATTCATGTCTCCCCGGGAATAGATTCACACAACGTAACTAGTGCCTGAACATGGACAGAGAACTAAAGATGAGTTGGGGCAGAGTGACTATACAATCTTGACTATGGGTAGCAAAGCAAGAAACCAAAGCTGAGCAGCCTGAGGGTGGAGCATCTGAGGGACTGGGGGTGTATGATCCTGATGTGGCTATCTTTCCCTCTGTTCTCTGAGATAATGTTCATTTTTTATTATGTCATCAGTTCCATAGACGCTACAACAGGCCCTGAGACATACAACCAAGCCTGAGTCCTCTACCCAGGGGGAAAGCCTGGATGGGAAGTCTGTGATGGGAAATACTGGTATGACTACCTTTCCTTTCATGGTACCAGAGAATGGCATCAGGCTGCCACAGAGTTTGCACGGCCACTACTAAGTATAGTAGAAAATGCTTCTAAGGCCAA